TGCCCCCCTGTTCTACCCCATCACAAACCATGAACTGATCCGGTTTGTCTGGCTCCTAAAAGTTTGTGATGATTTGTGGTTTGTAAACCAGGTGTGCCACGAACCGAACCACATTTTCCTGGTTCATGCCCATCCCCAATCCTAGCTCAGTCACAGTGACTCTAGGAAAGTCAGGAATCTCTCAGCTTCAGTTTCTCATTTACAAAATGGGAATAAGTAATCACCCAGATTTCCCTGCCTGTAAATGAATTGCTGCAGAGATGTATTTTTTAATTTATTTGGATTTATATCCTGCCCTCCCCGCAAGCGGGTTCAGGGCAGGTTCCAGCAATATAAAATACAATACAGTTAAAACCACATTAAAACAACAGTATAAAATAACATAACACAAGTCCTGAGTACCATGTAAACTCTAGCAGACATCAGATATCTTAGCGGTTAAGATGACATTGAAAATTTAAGGATCCAGGCCGCTGATGGGAGGCCAGCCAAAGAGAGGGGATGTTCGCTGCCTCAACCAAAAGCCTGGTGGAAGAGCTCCGTCTTACAGGCCCTGCAGAATTGTAATAAATCCTGCAGGGCCCTGATCTCATATGGGAGCTCATTGCACCAGATGGGGGCCAGGACTGAAAAGGCCCTGGCCCTGGTTGAGGCAAGTCGGACTAACAAAAGATGTTGATTAGTAGCCGGCTTGTAGCTACAGTGGGGCATTTTGGGGCCTGGCCCCCTGACTTCCATCCAGCACCCAGGCCCCCTGACTCTTTGGGCCACCTGGAGGACTCCCGATTCTCTGGGCCACCTGGAGGACTCCCCACCACCGCCCTGTCCCCAAACGTGGCTTGCTTCCCCATGTAGGCAAGCAGAGTGTGAACGATGCAAAAGTGAGTTCTTAAATTTTTACTGTTATTTTGTGATGTCAGTGCCCCCTGACTTATTTAAAGGCCCCCTGAATTACAAAATCCTGGTGACAGGCCTGATTAGTAGATCTTAGTGCTCTACGGGGCTCATATGGGGAGGGGAGGTCTTGAAGGTATGCTGGCGCCTGGCCTTATAGGGCTTTAAAGGGAAGTACCAGCACCTTGAAACGGATCTCGAATTTAATAGACAGCCAGTGCAATTCACGCAGCACTGGGTGGATGTGAGCCTGCACAGGAGTTGCCATCAACACCGGTGCTGCCGTGTTCTGCAGTAGCTGCAACTTCTGGAGCAGAGTCAAGGGCAGCCCCACATAGAGAGAGTTACAATCATCCAGTCTAGAAGTGACCATTGCATAGGTCACAATAGTCAAGTCTTGCGGGGGGGGGTGAGATATGAGGCCAACTGCCTGATCTGTCTCAGATGCAAAAAGGCAGACCTGGCAATGTTGGTGACCTGGGCCTCCATAGAAAGGAAGGTGTCCAGGAGCACCCCCAGGCTCTTCACCCTTGACATCAGGACCAGTGGAGCCCCGTTGAAGGCTGGGAGCCTGATTCCCTGTGCCAATCCCCCGCAACTCAGGTACAGGACCTCCATCTTGGATGGATTTAACTTCAGTCAGCTCTGTCGCAGCCATCCAGCCACAGCCTGTAACATCTTGTCCAGATCTCCTGGGGCCGTGTCTGGGCAGCCGTCCATCAGTAGATAGAGCTGGGTGTCATCCGCATACTGGTGACAACAAAGCCCCTATCTCCAGATAATCTGGGTGAGGGGGTGCATATAGATACTGAATAGCATAGGGGAGAGAATTGCTCCCTGCGGCACACCACATTCTGGTGGGTGTTGCTGGGATAACTCCCCCCAAATGCCACCCTCTGTCCCCGACCTCGGAGAAAGGAGGTCAGCCACTGCAAGGCAAGCCTCCATATCCCCATGTTGGTGAGGGAGTGGGCTAACACATCATGGTCAACCATATCGAACGCTGCTGACAGATCAAGAAGTATCAGCAGCACCGATCTGCCTCAATCCAGATGTCTCCAGAGATCACCCACCAGGGTGACCAATATCATTTCTGTCCCATGGGCAGGGTGAAAGGTGGACTGGAAGGGGTCCAAGATCTTAGCATCCTCCAAGAAAGTCTGAAGCTGCGTTGCCACTTCCTTCTCTATTACCTTACCCTCTATTACCTTACTCCAGCTAAAAATATTTTGAAAATTTGAAAGTGCCATATAACTTAATAAGAATAATTTCTGCAGCCTTAAAGGTGAGAAATTTCCTCCAAATGAGAACAGGGGAGGATCTATGCTTCTAATAAGGGCTTGCAGGCCATGAAAATGTGCATCTGAAAATGTGAAACAGCAGTTGTGTGATGCTCAGTCTTGCCCCTCAGGGATTTCCCTTTCGAAGTTGCCAAACACATTAAGCAAAACCTTACATTACTGTAGTCATACACCACAGTGGCAGAAGTGTTGCCATCCACACGGACATGGAATGTTGCCAGCTTCTCTTTCCGGGTCATGGAAAGGTGCTGCAGAGAACTGTCGCCATCCAGACCTTGAATGGTCATTTGCAGGACCTAGATGGTACAAAGGAGCAAGGAAGAGCATAGGAGAAGAAATTTGCATGGATCAGAAGAAGAGATCAAGGGAAATGAGAAGATAGCCATCTTTTGGAAAGCTAATAGCTAAAGGAGTTGCTTTTAAATAACCTTTAGTGGCTTTTAATGATAGGTTATTACTAGCTTTTGAGCACATCCCATCAGTTCTAGTTGGAGTAGCCTGCAGAGCAACCAGAAGTTTGAGTTTCACCCGTTGGCTGGGCAGCAACGGTCGGTGGGGGGGGGGGGAACACACTGTAAAGGAATGCTGTTTGCTTAACTTTCTGTCAGGGTTCCTGTCCACTCCTCTGCATATTTGTAACAAAACAGATATTGCAACAGCATCATAACCAATGCTCCCTCTAAGCTGTGGAGTCTTGTGAGCAAAAATTCTACCTTGCGAGCCACTGGCGTTAAAGTTGTGAGCGAGCAGTTTGGCTGCTGCATAAATTAGTTTGCTCTGGAGCCATCCTTCCTGAGCTAAGGCAAAAATGGGTGAGCTGGAGGCTAAAAAACTGTGAGCTAGCTCACACTAACTCAGCTTAGAGGGAACACTGATAACGCACCTGTATTCTCTCCTAGGAAGGAGACCCCTTGGAACTTCCTACAACTAGTGCAACTGGGAAACTAAAAAGAGTGTATAGCAATTGTTTGTCTAAACAGTGCAGGGATGAGAGTTTCTCCTTTCTTTCACAGCCGATGTTTTGTTGCTTTTACACGATTCAGCCTAAGATAATAGGAGACAAGGAGCTCTTTGCCAGAGCACTTTGGCTGTATTTCCAGTGGGAAGAAGAAAAGCCAGAGCTATTCCCAGTAAATTAGGTGGAAAGAAACAGTGTGAGTCCTGACTAGCATAATTTCCTTGAGTCTTAAAAACTTGCATCGTTTGCACATCTGACATTTTCAGTGGCTGCAAGACTGGAGGCATTGATAGAGATGCCAGCCATTGACTGGGGCACAAAACTGACATCAGTGATCAAAGAATACATTGATGAAGATCAAAACAATGTTGCCTTATGGGACATTTTCTTATTGATATGGATTAACTAAGCATGCTTTTGAAGGTGGTGAAAGAAAAGCTGAGTATCAGCTTGCTCTGAGGCTTTATAAGGGCAGTGAGCCAGGCCAAATAAAACTACTGCAGCTCCTCAGTGGCACTGTGCCTGCAACCCATAGGCGTAATCTTCGTGGGGGCGGCGGGGCGTGAGCCCCCGCCGAAATTTTCAGGAAGGTACTCAGCCTCCCCCGGGAGCCACCCTTACTCCTAGCAAAGCAATGCCTCTGGTCGAGCCCCAGCCCCCCCCGGGAAATTGGAAAGTCTACACCCTTGCATACACAGTTTGGCACATTTAGTCACTGAATATGGCTGGGGGGGGGGGGGGGAGGTTGAGTATTTGAGGGAGAAACGAAAGAACAGTCAGCCTGAGTAGCAAGAATGGTGCATTTCAACAGCAGCACCCTTTGCTTTCTTTAACTCATTCAAATGTCAGTTTCTAGGGGAGAGGGTATAGAACATGCACTACACATACGAATGATTAGTTATGGGGCACTGTTGAGAGTATATATTCCAATATAACCATGTCTTTTGTACAAAAAAATCCTGCAGAGGGCAGCAAGCTCTAGCTAGACAGGAATGTTAGAGGGCATACCTTTATAAAGGGGCTTCTCCTGTCTGCAGGTGCTACTGTTGGGGTTTTCTGCTAGAATAGTCAAGAACTTTCTCTGAGGTAGCAAGGCTTATCTCTTCTGATTCCTGTCCAGTTTGTTAGTTCATAAATAAAGCTTTCTTTACTTTTAATCAGTTCAGTGTCCTGACTGCTGCATAGGCACTCTACCAACAGGAAGTATTAAGTAACCAACTGCACACTCCTAAGAACTGGTCTGTAACTTACTGGAAAATTTCCCAGTGAGTTTGTTGCCCTGGATGCCTCGCTGGTGGTCAACATTCAGCTGAGCTCAGCCACACTGGCATTGGCAGCACTGCAAGGCTGCTCAGGCCAATCACACACACAAGCTTGCCTGTTGGCTCCTCCCCTTCTGATGCCAGCAAAGGCGCAGACAGAGGCATGGGTCCACTTTTACCATGGTCACCAGCGATGAAAGTAATTTACATTTCTGGCTGGTACTTAACATAAGAACATAAGAGATACCAATGTTGGATCAGGCCAAAGGCCCATCCAGTCCAACACTCTGAATCACACAGTGGCCAGAAATACCAGTGCCATCAGGAGGTCCACCAGTGGGGCCAGGACATTAGAAGCCCTCCCACTGTTGACCCCCCCAAGCACCAAGAAGACAGAGCATCACTTGCCCCAGAGTCCCTATCTATACCTTGTGGCTAATAGCCACTGATGGACCTCTGCTCCATATGCTTATCTAATTCCCTTTTGAAGCCGTCCATGCTTGTAGCCGCCACCACTTCCTGTGGCAGTGAATTCCATGTGTTAATCACTCTTTGGGTGAAGAAGTACTTCCTTTTATCCGTTCTAACCCGACCCCTCAGCAATTTCATGGAGTGCCCATGAGTTCTTGTACTGTGAGAAAGGGAGAAAAGTACCTCTTTCTCTACCTGCTCTATCCCATGCATAATCTTATAAACCTCGATCATGTCACCCCTCAGTCGTTGTTTCTCCAAGCTAAAGAGCCCTCTCTCTCTCTTGCGTGTGTGTGGGCTCAGTGCAGAATATGGGAGGTACCACTTTGATACAATTTCTAGCTGGCAATCGGTACCCACTTACTTTTACTCCAGTTGTCACGAGTCCTGTTCACGTGTTACAATGGATACACATACAGCCTGCATGTATGTGCATACACCTGTCCATACAAAAGAGCCAATGCACATTCTTTACAAATGAAACCGGCGATCAGTACCTGGATAAAAGGTGCTTTTTAGTCACACATTCAACTGTACATGTGTTGAATATAACATGAGAATTATTCAACACAAGTATAAAGAAAAATCGAGTGTACGCCTTACATGGATTGTACATGCATTCACTGTAACTAGTGGACAGGGCTGGTATTGTTGTGGGTTGGGTCTGAGCCAAGCAGTTCCTGCCAGCAGCACAGGAGCTGCTTAGCCTTGGAGGGTTTTACTGTCACAATCCACCCCTGAGATTCCTGTACCTGCGGCCATTTTACTGCACTTACCGTTTCAGTGTGCTTCTCTGTTATATGCAGGCCCATCAGAAGGAAGCCCAGAACAACTAAAACAATCACTACCACCACAACCACAACAATCAAGAGCTTCTTGCAAGGGAGCCCAGGGAGTCGGGGGGATGCAGTATAATCCTGCAGCAGCAGAAAGAAAGAAAGAAAGAAAGAAATGGAAGCACAGTTATAATAATGAATGTAGTTCATTTCGCCTGAGGTAAAACAATTGGCTTGAAGTGACGATTAAAAACTCCATTGAAAAACAACAAACGCCCTGCACATAGAAAAAGAATGTAAGGGCAAAGCCTATGCTGGATCCCTTCTTGCTAGATTTCTATGCCGAGGGGCTATTTTTTTACATCGACTATTTAGTCATGAGAGCCCTCCCTGCAGACTGAAGTGGCACAACCCAAACACGGTTTTACCACCTAGGCCACAGGGGAAAGTAATGAGAGCCAAAACATATGCTTTAGGGGGAATTATGAAAGGTTGGGATCGGACTGAAGTGGCACAACCCAAACACGGTTTCACCACCTAGGCCACAGGGGAAAGCAATGAGAGCCAAAACGTATGCTTTAGGGGGAATTGTGAAAGGTTGGGATCAATTCACACAGTCTTTGTTGCTGTTTGTTTGTCCTCTTCCAATTGACAGGTGAACCTACTGAGAGGAAGCTTGGGTGGCAGATGAAGAGAGCTATAGAAGGCAGATGAATGGGAGTCGGACTGATCTGACTCAGGGGGCACAACCCAGTGGAACGTTCTACTTTATGAGTCCCAGTGGAATTAACTGGCACTGTCTTGTGCAACTCCTATACATTTCAGCAAGATACACGAAGGGGAACTTCCTTCTGGATTGTGCTCATTGGAGTTTTGGATCATAGGGACTAAAATTCCAAGGGCCAGCTGTAGTTGCCATTGCTATGGCTTGGAAGCCGCACTTGCCATGAGAAGAAAGAAATTACTCCAGAAGGAGAGACTTACAGGCGGTGCCTCCATCAGAAGAACCTCCTTGCCGTCAGTTGCCATTCTTGCCTATTCTGAGCGGGTTCTTCTGTGCTCTGTTTTGCTCCTTGGAAACCTTCTGATATTTATATCAGAAGGTGGGAACTAAATTTCTGTGGGTAACACTTTGTCTCTTTGACCCTGCTGTTGGCTGAGAGCCATATTTGGCTTTTGTCCTTTGATCTGGGAACCTGTTTTTCACTGAGTCTTGGTAAGTGGACTTGAGTCAGCCAAGAACCTCTGAGGAAGCTTGCCCAAAAGCACAAGGGCCTCTTAGCAGCAAAAGGCCTCTTTGTCTTCTGAAGGTTAAAGTGCTCTAAAAAAAGGCTAGTCACACTCTCACAAAGTTACAGGCTCCACTTGTCAATACAAGCAGGATTAAGGGCCCTTCTTGCTTTTCTTTAGTTGTGCCACAAAGTTCTTGAGATGTTCTAAGGGAGAATGTGAGAACTTGATGTGAGGTTTCAAAATGCATAAACTTCTTAGCCACAGGTACAGAGAAGGTATTAGGAGGGGGGGCACATCATGTGATACAGCAACTTTCACAGTGAATATGTTCAAACATAGCTAGCTCAAAAGCCAGAATCACCTCTGATCTAAACATCTGATTTGTTCATCTTGAATGGCTTTGCAGCTGTGGAATTTCATTTCCTTGTGGTGGAATTTCATTTTCCTGGCCTCCAGGCGCTTTTGTATCTCTGCAGTAGATGAAATCAATTCTACCCAAAGTCACATTAAATGATATGAGGGGAGAACTGTGCCTCCCATAGGGCTGTGTGAAAATTGTCATGGACTTGATAACATGGACTTAAATAAACACCAAACAATATGAGTTAACCCCCTCCACAATTTATAATTGTTGGCTGACTGATTGATTTGCTCACTTATACCATGGGCTGTCAAGCAGCAGGAAGAGACAACTGGACTGTTGGGGACAGACGTGCAGGAAAGGGGGAAAATATGAACTGCCATCATGCGCTGTGAAAAGGTGTGCATATAAATAATGCCAATTGCTGTTTGAATGCTTGAGAAATATAACCTGATGAACAGGTTTGCACTGTTCACAAACAGCAAACTCACTGCTGGACAACTGGCTCCCTGTTCATGACTGGTGAACAATTGGTTAGCTGAGCCAGCAGGTATTTGATTGCCCCTTGCTGAAATGAGAGTTAGACCCAATTGAAGGAAGCAGTATGAAATAGATGGCAGTGTTTGGCTTTGTTGGTGAAATGTAGGGCTAGCCAGAAAATTCTGACACCTGAGGCAGAAAATCCAAACTGTGCCTTCATAAATATTTAAGGCACAGTTCCCCAGGGAATTCTATATAAACCTCTTTGCAATGAGGGGGAAGTGCACAAGAGCATTACGTTGTGACTGAAAGATTTCACATACCATTGGATTTTATGTTATCATTGTGCTATAAGTGATAATTCACCTCTTATCTTGACCATGCAGGTAAAATATGGTTGTGAATTACTGCTATAGCACTACAGTAGCACAATATTACAGTAGCACGATACCTAATGTGTGTGGATGCAGTCTTATGCCAGGGTTCAGCCTGCGAAGATGTGCATGAGATGGGGGAAGAGAAAGTCATCCTTCCCTATCCATTATGCTATTGCTTTTGAGTCGTGATGACATGTAGGAGGATTGCATGTGATAGAGATGCGCTTTGAAGCAGCTGTCTTTCTGGATAACCTGCTTTGTTCTCCCCCTGCCTTGTCCTCCCCGAGGTGTGCAAGTTGTCTCCCCTGCAGAGGATGGCACAAGTCCCATCCTCCTTGGGAGGCCCTGCATCTTGTTTGCTCGTGTCCATCCGGCCCTTCTCCAAAGCGCTAAGAATGGCCTTCGCACTCTTTGCCTTTTGTTGTCTGGGACTCAGCTGTGCCTGGAACGAGAGTTGTTTGTGACCGTGCCACACTCACACTCAGCGCTGGCAAAGCAGTTCGTGTGCCATAAATTATTTGACAGCCACTTGGACCTGCTAGGATCACTGGGGACGAAAGAGATGAGGCAGCACAAAAGGCTGGAGGCAGGGAGGGATGGGGGAGCAGCAGCAGGGCGAGACGCAGAGATTGTGCCTGTTACAGGCTTTTGCAAAATATTGTTTATCTGTGACTAACACAATGCTCATTGTTTTGACATGTTTATAGGTAGGAGGGGCTGGATATTGCGGACATACTAGGAGCTATAGGGCATCTCTGCACAGAAGCACTTAGCCCCTGTGGGATCCCTGTTAGGAACAGACAAGCCAGTGCAAAGAGTGGAGGACGGTTGGTCTTCACTGCAGCCAGGATCACCAACTCTGGGTTGCGTATTCCTGGAGATTTGGGGGCGAAGCATGAGGAAGATGGGGCTCAGTGAGGAGAGAGACCTCAGCAGGTTATAATGCCATTGAATCCACCCTCCAATGCAGCCATTTTCTCCAGGGGAACTGATCTCTGTAGTCTGGTGATCGGGTGTAATTCTGGGAGATCTCCAGGCCCCACATGTAGGTTGGCAAGCACAGCTGCAACAAGTGTAATGTATTGAAATGATTACATGAATCACCTCATAGGACTCCCATGTTAAGCTTCGAGCCAGACCAGGGCTCCTCTGAGCGAACTTCCTATTGGTCGCTTCGTAACAGCGACCAATCAGAACGATACCATTCCCTAGGAGGGAAAGACTCCCATTGGTCTTTATTCTAGCAATCTCATTGGTTGTTATTTGTAAATAGGCGTGGCTACATTAGCCCGGTTATGTTTAAAAGGAGGGAGGGATGGGGGAGCAGCAGCAGGGCGAGACGCAGAGATTGTGCCTGTTACAGGCTTTTGCAAAATATTGTTTATCTGTGACTAACACAATGCTCATTGTTTTGACATGTTTATAGGTAGGAGGGGCTGGATATTGCGGACATACTAGGAGCTATAGGGCATCTCTGCACAGAAGCACTTAGCCCCTGTGGGATCCCTGTTAGGAACAGACAAGCCAGTGCAAAGAGTGGAGGACGGTTGGTCTTCACTGCAGCCAGGATCACCAACTCTGGGTTGCGTATTCCTGGAGATTTGGGGGCGAAGCATGAGGAAGATGGGGCTCAGTGAGGAGAGAGACCTCAGCAGGTTATAATGCCATTGAATCCACCCTCCAATGCAGCCATTTTCTCCAGGGGAACTGATCTCTGTAGTCTGGTGATCGGGTGTAATTCTGGGAGATCTCCAGGCCCCACATGTAGGTTGGCAAGCACAGCTGCAACAAGGTTCCCAAGTTGCAGTGCTTTAGTCTTTCTTTATAGCTCCTCTCTAGGCACCCAAAGTAAAGGCAACTCAGTGTACTGTTTGTAAGAATTCCCTGTGTCTAAACCATCATGTTTTTCAGCTTCTCTCAGGTTTTTTCACAAGAGATTTTGACAATAAAATAGCACTGGCCACCATTAGGAATTGTATTTTTTGTAGTTCAAGTGTTCCTCCAATTTCAGAAATAGTTTGCCTACTGGAGAGAGCACGGGAGAAGTCATACACCCATAGAAGTTTAAATGTGATCCTCTATGGCAAACAGTGGCGTGGAGCAACGCATAATGTGCACCTTTGAAATGACATTTGTTCACTGGAACCCTTAGCCTTTAGTTTAAGGGCTCCATAAGGTTCTAGATTGTTACCTATACTGTTCACCATCAACACTGAAACTGCTGGGAGAGATCATCTGAAGATCTGGAACAAGTTGTCATATGTACACTGATGGCATATAACTCTGTCTCTCTGTCTCTGAAACAATCTAGATAAAATAGAAATTATGTGATTTGGGGAAGGGTTGCCAACCTCCAGGTGGAAGCTGGCGCTCTCCCAGATGATAGATCAATTCCTCTGGAGAAATGGCTGCTTTGAAGGGTGGACTCCATGGCATTATACCCTGCCCGGCCCCATCCCTCCCCAAACCTTGTCTCTCAAGGCTCCACCCCCAAATCTCCAGGAGTTTCCCAACCTGGAGCTGGCAACCCTAATTTGGGGTAAAACTGATCCATGAATAGGGTTGCCACTCCCCAGGTCCTGGCGGGGTTTCCCCTGGTTTTCAGAGCTTCTACCCATCGCCAACTAGCTGGCCAGTGGGGAAACCCCAACCCCAAACAGCCACATCTTGACACTGATGTCACCCAGACGTGACATCATCATGTTGGGGACATTGCACAGGATGCTCTGGTTTGAGGGCAAAACTCTATGGTAAATTTGGCCTAACACCATAGAGTTTTCCCCTCAAACCGGAATGTTGCTGCGCAATGTCACTGATGTGATGACATCACTACTGGGCGATGTCATCGTGTTGGGGACATCCTGGTACACACACCCCAAATCCCCCCGCCAGCACTGCAAAGAGACCTGGCAACTCTATCCATGAATAGGCCTTTTCTGAATGGGTTATTGTCTTCTTGAAAGAGCAGTGCTCCTAGATTCTTCTCTGACTCAACACATTTAGGTAGTGGAAGTAGTTTAGCACTGCTTTGTTACCAACTGAGGCTGTTTTGGCAGTAGTGGTTTCTTCTGGGGAAGTCATACCTGACCACAGTTGCACACACACTTTCATAACATCCATATTGCTCTACTGTAATGTGCTCTACATGAGGCTGTCTTGAAAGATTGGCCAGAATCTTCAACTGGTGCAAAATGTGAATCCAGAATGCTAATACGGCCTATTTGCAATAAGCGTATAACATCCATGCTATAGTTACCACTTTGCTGACCCAGTGAAATGTGCTGGTTTCCATCTTTGAATCCCTGAATGGTTTGAAACCAAAGTACCTAAAGAACTGTCTCCATCCTATATAATTGCCCAGGCTCTAAGGCCGAGTTCAGACTGGCAGTTTGGCGCGATATAGGCACGTTTCAGAAACGTTTCACAAACAGATTAAAGGTGCTGTTCACACAGGCACATCTGTCCGGCGTTCCCCAGCCGTACTCAACCCATCTCGTAACGCTTCACTCCCAAGTTTAAAAGATGCCAGGTGAAAGTGGTATCGAACCCAGGAAAGCCATCTGTGAGTTGGAACATGT